TGATGATTTACTCAGCATACAGAATGAATAAGTACGGTGAGTGGATACAACCCTGATACACAGCCTTTCTGATGCTCAAACGTACTGTATTCCCTTGTTGTTTGCACGATTGCCTCTTGATTCATGTACAAGTTCTTAGGAGCACAATGAAGTGTTCTGGGATTCTCATTGTTAAGAATATACATAGCTTGTTATGATCCACACAGTGGAATGCTGTAGCTAGTCAATAAATCATAACTAAACATTTTTATGTTTTTCTATACTTTGAGCCAAGATCTACGTGAAATCAGCAATGATATCCCTTGTTTCACATCCTCTTCGGTGTCCAGCCTGAACTTCTGGCAGCTCCCTGTCCATGTACTGCCACAAGCATTGTTGGATGATCTTCAGCAAAAGTTTAATTGCATATGCTATCAAAGATATTGTTTTATAATTTAAACATTCTGTTGGGTCACATTTCTTTGGAATGGGTACAAATATGGGACTCTTCCAGTCAGTTGACCAAATAGTTGTCTTCATATTTTCTGGCATAGATTATTGAATGCTTCCAGTGCTTTATCAGGTTGTGGAAACATTTCTTTTGGTATTCTATTGATTCCTGGAGTCTTGTTTTTGGCTAGCGCTCTAGTGAAGCTTGAAATTCTTCCTTCTAGATGTAGAAGGTTTTTGGTTTTTGGTTCTTGCTCATCTGCTGCTTCTTGACAGGGTGGAATGTCGACTAGTTCTTTTGGTACAGTGATGCTGGCCTACGTCAGGTTATTTACAGTTACCTCATATGCTTGTGGAAAGTGGACAGTGAACTAGGAAGACCAGAGTTGGCAAATACTATTGAAAGTACCGTGGGCTGTCGGGAGAACAAACAAGTTTGCCTGGAACAAATACAACTTGAATACTCCTTACATGTAAGGGGTGAGACTTCATCCTAGGCACTTTGGACATGCTATCAGTAAGGACCAGTCCCTGTAAAGTGATATTTTGCTTAATGAAGTAGCTGGCCAATGAAAAAGAGGCTGATCCTCAAGGAGGTAGATTGATGACGAAGTGGCTGTAAGAATGGACGCAAACATAACAACAGTTGTGAGGATGCCCCTCAAGACCAGGCAGTACTTCATTCATTTGTGCCATGGTGGCTATGACTGGATGGTACCTAATGTCAACAGTGAGCTGGCTGGAGCTGACTGAGTTTCAGCACACCATTGCTGCCTTCTGCACCTTTTCTTTCCGAAAGCCCTGTGCACTTTATTTGTAAACTCGTAGTAGTTACTCCCAGCTCTGTGCCTGAAAAGTGCTTCATATCTAATGCAGGTGTGTAGTCATTCAGTAAGTATGCAGTCAAGGCTTGCTACATAATACATGGAACCCACCACCCACAAAGATGTGAGGCTCTTTCTAAAGAGCAATTATGTTTCTTCTTTTCTTCAACATATCTTTTGCAACTTCTTATGTTTTTTAAGGCCATTTTATGTCATTCCAAACAAACAAAACCCAAACTGACTGCCAACTTCTAGTGACCTGTGGGACAGGGAGCACTGCCCCTGGGGGATTTCCAAGGCTGTCATTCTCTCTGGGAGTAGAGAGCCCGATCTTTCTCCCAATCAGTGGCTGGTGGTTTTAAACTGCTGACCTTGCAGTTAGCAGCCTAACTCGTGACCACTCTGCCCACAGGGCTCCTCTGTGTCATTCCAAGTAATGGAAAATGGAAAAAGGAAATGATTTGCATGATTGTTACCATTGATCTTTCTATTTTGCAATGCCAGTTTTAAATGCAAATACGTTCTGTGCAGAGAAGAGCAGCTCCATTGGGAAGTTCAGGCTGGGACCTTGCAGAAGCAGACTGACGAGCCTACCTTTTGAGGCACCTCTGAGTGGCTCAACCAACCAACCCTTTCGTTAGTAGTCTCCCATGTAGCCATTGAAGAGCACTGAAGAACTTGTATGAGCTTGTGCACACATCTCCTCTAACAATGGGTGAGCTCCATTGTCCTACCAGATTTCACTTACACCATATGAGCAGTCCCCAGGAGATCTGTTGGGTACACATAGCTACCCAAAATAAAAAGTCCAACATTATCCCCTTGGACTGACCTTCAGGAAGCAAAAGACCCCGTGCCGGGAGAAGCCGGGCTTCCTCAGTCTGGTCTGAAGTCCCTTGCATGGCTTAAGGAAAGACTCTAGGGAAGCCTCGCTTCCTCAGGCTGCCAGGAAGTCCATTTCCTTGTGTTCTTAATTGTGCATTTCAGAATTTGTAGGTAAGTACTGACAGGTGCGTTCAGTTCGTATGTTACCTTAATGAGAGCAAGAAGAGACCAGAAACCTTTTCAAGGATTGAAAACCTGCCCATGCTCAATGTGCAGGTGACGGTGATGAAGAGTTTGTTGGGAGTAGAGGTTGACTTAGTTGTTTCAGACAAAGTGAGAGCAAGTTTATATAACATCAACAGGCGAGGAGGACCTACCTGTAAATCGGAATTTGTCACCCAGGAGCCATCTGATCAAATCCAAAGATATAATTATCAAAATTTCAATACATCAGAGTATTAAACCAAGCAAAGACCCTCCTGGGTTTGAGGCCTGGTGCAACTACCCATTTCACCCATTCTGTGTACAGTTCGGGGGAAATTGTTTACATCTGCCCAGCCTCAGTACCCTCCTCTGTAAAACAGGAGTAATGTCTAAGTTATTTCAGTTACATAAGCCGTACTGAAGCTGGAGTATTGGAGACACCCATACTTGGCCGGTATAGAGCAAAGTGCTTGACATGCAGTTTGTTGAATTGGAGGAATTACTCTTACTGTAATAATCACCATGCTAATGGTACTTGACTTATATTCTATAGCAGCAGTTCTCAACCTATGGGTCACGACCCATTTTTTTGGATTGCACGATCCTTTCACAGGGGTCACCCGATCCATAATAGTAGCAAAATTACAGTTATGCAGTAGCAACAAAAATAATTTTAAGGTTGGGGGGTCACCACAACACAAGGAACTATATTGAAGGGGCGAGGCATTAGGAAGTTTGAGAACCACTGGTCTATAGGGTCACCTTGTTTCGCTGACATTGGCCGCCTTGGTTTTTTTTCCTTTCTGCATCTTAATGTCTTCGAAGGCAGGGATTAGATCTCAGTGACCGTGGAATTGCCAGCAGTACTTCCAGAGAGGGCATACACATGCCTGGCACTCAGTAGGTGTTTATGACCCCGATCATTGCGTGAGTTGGACTTCTTGACAATAAGCATCTGTGTCATAATATGATGGCCTTCACAATGAAGCCTAATTGGTAACATTCACAGGAAGAAAAAGAGTATAAACTAAGACTATAACAGGAGTCCATTGTAATCATGGTGAGGGTGGGGGAATAGAGGATTCCAGGTGTTTTGGCTTAAGGAGTGTGGCCTCACTTTGTCTCTTCACGGGGACTGCTTTAAGAAATGAGGAAGGGATGAGTTCCAAGCCTCATTTTAGTAGAAGAGACCCTAGGGATATTAACTCTGGCCCATGGTAGTCCGTGCCTTTGCTAACTTCTTTCACACTTACTTTCTGTTCTGCACAATTAGGACGTTATTATAGTAATGCTTTTCCCACTAATTGGTTGTATATGTATGTTTTATTTCCAACGAATTATAAGATTCTCGTGAGCTATGAGACATAGGGCACTTCCTTTGAACTGAAAGGGAAGGTAGCTCAATACTAGGCACATAGGAAGCAATGCAGTTTATTGTGATTCTGGCCTGGCTCCACGGAGATCTGGATGTGATTATCTTTTATAACTCCTGCAAGACCTCAACCAAGTGGCAAGAAGTCTGGTCAGCCCCAGCACTTTTCGGGAGAGGAACTTCAGTTGTTTTTCCTTTCCCCAGCCCACATCTTGTTCCCCATGTCTCCCACTCTGAGGAGTGTCCCCTACTTATGTTTTCCCCCCTCAGAATTTGGAACACCACACAGCTGTAGACTGCTCGTTTGTATGATGATTTTTTAACAAGCCCTTTGGGCCTGTGTCAATAAGCCATGAAATATCACCAAATGGACCATCTGCTGCACCAGACTTCTGAAGCTCATCTGAGCTCTAGCCTCTCACGCTGGCGGGAATTTGTAGAAAGGAGCTCACGCTACCCTGGCTTTGGCTCTTCCTGTTCTGGGGACTGTCAGACGCCACGAGCCTCTGGGGCAGTCAGTTCATTGATTTTAATGAGCAGGAACTCCACCAAGACATTAAAATAAAATAAAACAAAACACCAAGTGGCAGTCTTAGATGTACCTTCCAATTGTTGCTTTAGTTCTTTTTCCACAGGATTATTCAAAACGATGAGAAAGGGGGTAGGGGTAGGACGGGAAGCCAATTTTACCCACTCTGGCCAATTTTAGGCCAAGTAGATTTGGCATTGTAAAGCTAGCACACCCTGAGCTTTTTCTTTCTTTCTTTCAATTCCCTATAGGCTAGTGCTTGACATTTATGCTAAAAAAGCATGAATTGACTGGTCCTATGTTTAAACATGATCTACCATTTGGATATAGAAAAGAAATGGCAACTATGCCAATACCATGTAACACATGAAGACTGGTTCTTTTTTTTAAGAGTAGAGTCATTACTTCAAATGATGAGGCAAATGCAATTATCTTGATAAGGATTTCTTCATTAATAGAGCTCTGTGGCATAGACGGTGGGAACTTAATGAAGGGTTACTTATATTGCTCTATCGTGTAGAAAGTCAATGGATGGTGAAGCAGGCACCGAACAATGTCCACATTAAGCTGATCCTGGGGTATTTTCAACTCCTGGCCATATGGATTTGGAATTACTCTGGGCAGCTTCCGCCCCACACCCCCCAGAAGGAAGTGAGCAGATGAATGATAACTCTTTTATTACTCAACAGAGCTCGTGTTTGTGGAAGACAAAGTTCATCAAGCCATTTGAAAGAAAAACGGAGTGTGCTAAATGTCATTTTGTTGAGGGATCACGATTTGTGCAATTATCCCTAACCGGAGTCTGTCCGTTCTGCAGGTAATAGCTCTAGCAGACGCAGCGCAGGAGAACGAAGACACTCTTTTCCAGGCGTTCACCAGACTGAGAAGTGCCACCCATTTGGTGATTCTCTTGCTCAGCCTGTGGCAGAAGCTTAATGCTGACCAGGTTGCCATTCTGGAAGCGGCATTTCTGCCCCTGCAGCAGGACACTCAAGAACTGGTAAGGACCCACAGCCTTAAGTGATAACCACCAACGTTATTTAAAGAATTTGGTTTTAGCAAGATATCACACGGCTATCATATTTTGAAAGGAACCCAATGAAAACGTGGTTTTTAGGTTGTTTTTTTTAACAAGAATGCTGTTTTTCCTTTTCTTTAGGCCATAATAAAAATGTTAAATTAAGACCTTTTTTTCAAGAGATATTTAAAAAATAGGTACAGAGTCCATTATTATGTGGTATCCAAATTTTTGTATGTGCTCTTCAATCATTTAGAAGCCAGGGACATAATCATTTGACGGTCAGAGTGATGGCAGTAAACCTTCAGATTAGCTAATCCTTTCCTTTTCTGCCAGAGAACACAGTTCGGCCATTTTTATTTGCTCAGCATGTTTCAGTTTAACGTTGCAGGGAGATAGCCTTGCAGAACAACAGGGATCCTCTTGTACATGCATGTGGTTCTGTAGACAGAAACCCTTTGCCTTCAGTCCAGGGATAGGCAAGTTAGAGCGAAAAAAGGTGATAAATGACGGTAGGATTTGGAGTTTGGGGGAAGGATTGTTTAACGAAAACATTTCAGGTCCCGTGAATCCTATATGTCTGACTGAATGAGACCACTAGCTATTGCTCGGAGGGGGGGGGTATTGCATGCTTTTATTTACAAGGAAATAAATACACATCTTGAGAATAAAATGAAAGACTCTTGAACATTTTGGGTTTTTTTTTTTACTTGGGGAGACCTAAAACCATCACTCCAGATCTGTTTTTAACCCTAGCTAAGAGCCCATGGGAGTACACAGAAGAGTGAGGCCGGTGCTTTTAGAGTGCGTACTGAACTAAGCCAGGTGCTCGTTTATGTCACAGGGTTATTTCATCTCACCTTAACTATCTCCTGATAATGAAGCTAACATGCTGTTTTCATCCTCAATCACACTGGGGAAATCTCAGCTTTGAGAGTTAAATCCTTGTTAGTTGCTGTCAAATTGGCTCTGATTCTGGACGCCCCTACGTAGCGCAGAAGTAAACGCCAAAGGTCCCGTACCGTCTGTATGGTCATCAGTTTGTTTGTGCCCACTGCGGCAGTGATCGAGTGTGGAGCTCACAGAGCGAGGGAGCAGTCGAGCTGGGATTTAGACCCAAATCTGCCGGCCCCCAAAGCACTGCACTGTATTTTAGAGAACCAAGTCTTGAAGATAATTTTGAAAATCACCAACTTTGTCAGCTGAATCGAGTTTTCCAGAGCTAGATAACATTTTGAACTATTAGTAAATCAGAAAAAATTTAGAGCACACATTTTCTATTTTGAGTGGCAAGTGACACGTTATAAGGAGATTGGTAAACATAAAATTACAACTGAAATTCACCCCAGAAAGGACAGAAATGTAGAGCATTAGCTATAATAGTAGAAAGAAAGAATGGGAATGTTTGCTGTCATTTAGGAGCCAAGTTCAGTAATTGGAGACCTGGCTGGATTTAGCTTCTGCCTCCCCAATTAATGGTGAAGTCACTTGGTCACTTTGATTAAGTTTCTGCACCCTTAGCTGTCACCACCTGCTATCACCATTCCAATTCACGGGGACCCCATTTGTGTCGCAGTCGAGCCGTGCTTCTCAACCTTCCTCATGCTGCGACCCTTTATCACAGCGCCTCATGATGCGGTGACCCCCAACCATAACATTATATTCGTCGCTACTTTCTAACTGTAACTTTACTACTGTTATGAGTCTGGCGACCCCAATTAAGGGGTCGTTTGACCCCCAAAGGAGTCGCGACTCACAGGTTGAGAACTGCTGCAGTGCAGCGTGTTTCACAGAGGTTTTAATGTCTAATGTGCAAACGTAGATTTCCAAGACTTTCTTCAAAGTTGGCTGAGGTGGATTTAAACCTCTGACCTTTCCGTTAGCCGCAGAGTGTGGTCATTATTCTGACTGCCAGGGACTCCCCTTAGTTATAAGATGGAGATAACAACAGAACCTACCTAAAAGTTGTCATAAGAGTGGACTGGGGTCATTAAATGGGATTGCTGAAGGTTAGCAATGAATGTGGTTCCAACATTTCATATATTGTATTTTTGGTGTCGTCCACCTGCTTTGGTTTGGACCGTGAGTCACAATAACCCTAAATGACAGAGTAGAATGCTCTGGAAGGTTTCGTGGGCTGTTAGTGTTACGGAGCGTGTTGCCAAGTCTTACCTCCTGCAGAGTCCGGGGTGGCTTGGAACCACCAGCCTTTTAATTAGCAGCTAAGCTCTTAACCGTCGTGCCACCAAGAGTTGTTTCGTAGTCATAAGCCCCGTGAAGTAGTTTTTGTTACTTTTTCATGATTATTCCCCCATCTCCTCGTCTGGACTTGGAGGCCGGGACTATATTTTATTCATTTTTCTATTCTTAGTGCCTGGCTCAATGCCTGACTGTAGCACAGTCCGTATTTATTGAGTAAACGAAAGGAGAAAGGATGATGGCCAACAGGTACTGTGTTAGCAGTGCAGATGTCCTGTATTTATCCCCCCCACATAACAGGTGTGTTGTTTTTGCCATCGCGCAGGCCCTCTCTCATTATTTTCATAAACATGCTACACCTCGTTTTTGTACATGTTGCTGACTTCACATGACATCCAAAAAAAATCATCAAACTGTGCACTAAGCAGATCTAACATAATCTAATGGTTTCATTTATGATGCTCTGAGAAGGCGTTCATACATTGAGCTTCAGTGAATAGAAACAAGTACACCTTTCAGTTGTTTGTTTTCTGATTACCAGGGCTTCTTGACCATGGCCTATGCCTTTATTGTACAATTATATCAAATGCAACATTTTCAGACAATTTATATGCTCCTAGGCAGCAGATTCAAGAATATGCACCCAGCGAAAGGATATGAGTAAGACAATGTTATTTACCTATAACACGGGTAGATGGGTGAATAAGGCTGAAATTAACTTCTGGAAATGTCCTGAGATGTGCATGATATAGACATGAGGATGCGAGACTACTTAATTTAATCCTTTCTATGTATTATATATATGGATGTGTTATTTGTAGATAAAAGGGGGTTATTAATCTATGGTATAAGTAAGCAAGACATGTGAATAGTGTAATATGTAGACATTTTTACAAAAAAGAGAAAAAACACTGCTGAAACATTAAAATAGAAAATTTTTTTGTTCATGGGATACTTCTCTTGTCTAGCACAAACCATTTTATTTTCAACCCCCCTCATATGTATGCAAGAGCTGAACAATGAATAAGGAAAGCTGAACAATGAATAAGGAAGGTCAAAAGAAAATTGATACCTTTGAATTATGGTATTGGTGAAGAATATTAAGTAGGCCATGGACTGCCAGGAGAATGTGGAAATCTCTATTAGAAGAACTCTGGGAGTGCTCCTAGGAAACAAGAAGGATGAAACTTCCTCGCATGTGTGTTGACCATGATATCAGAAGAGACCAGTCCCTGAAGAAGGACATCACGTTAGAGATGAAGGACAGCCCCACAGAGGAAGATCCTTCATGAGATGGACCGACTCAGTGGGTATAGCCCTGGGCTCAAGCACAGGATCAACTGAGAGATGGTGCAGGTCTGGGCAGTGTTTCATTCTGCTGTCCACAGGGTCTCTCTGGGTCAGGACCACCTCCATGACCCCTAACAACGAACAACAGTACAGGTGCATGTGCACGGCTCCATACCAAACTAGGAGAGTGGCGGCACGAACTTGTGTTATTTCACTTCTCACGGTGTGCACATCCTACTGATTAAGGGTTTCGCTACCGCGCCTTCCTTTCAGTGTCACCATTTTCAGTGTAAATGGTTGGCTAATCAAGGGCAGTAATAGGACTGGGAAAGGACACAAGGAGGCTTCCTTAGCCACTTGAGTTTCTGATCTAACTCAACTACTGCCACGGCTGTAGTCAATGCTCACTCATCGCAACTTCCCGTGGGTTAACGAGACCATAGCTATTTATGGGAGTAGAAAGCCTAGCCTTCCTCCCTCAGAGCTGCTGGTGGTTTTGAACTGCCGACCCAACGGGTTACCACAACACCACTAGGCCCCCGTTCTCTGATCTAGTGCCTCTTTTCTCGGTGTGAAGCACGTCCTTCTGAAGGAAAGCCCCTTAAGTACATTCCCCCTTGACCCCAGCTTCTGCCTAATCCGTGGTACATGCAACATTCTTTTCTTGTACTTGTTTTGAGTCTCACTGAATTTTGGCTTATCATGGGGCCAGTGTACTTCTGAACTCTAAGGGATATATGTGAATAAGCAGTAAGGGGCATGGTCCTCGATCCCATTGGACGTAGAAAACATACAAGTTTGAAGATAAAATTGCTGAAGATGTCAAGTTAGTGACAACAAAGCATTCGATGAAGCTCGGGGTCCTGTGTGACTGCACAGGTCTCATGTTCATGAAGCCGGCTCTGAAGCTTGGCTAGAGTCAAAAGAGGAACTTCCTGAAAATAAAGACAGTGATGTGTGGGAATTATTTCCCCCAGACAGATTGTGCTCTTCCCTACTCTTGAAATCTTTAAGGACAGGTTCATCTAGCTCAGGATATGGAAGAACAGGTGAGTTTATCCTCGTAGGAAGGTGAAGGAACTCAGTATCCCTCCTCAGAGTCTTTTTCTACCCCGTTTCTGTATTCTTTGCTATTGTATCTCCCCAAACATGTAGGGGCAGGGTAGCTTTCATTTCTACTTTGAATTTTAGGAAATTAGAAAGTAGGTATACTTGTATGCCTATTGGACTCATTAATGAGAGAAGACATTCGACAAAGCCATCACATGGAGAAGAACTACTCAAACAGGACATTTTAATCCTGCTCGTCCTGCTCTTCTGCCCTCATTAGGTTGTGGTACTCACTCTGGACTTAGCACTGTCGAGACAGCTTATATGTCTCAAGGGAAAAAAAGGAATCCTTTTTCATTCTTGAAGACATATGCGTACAGTATGTGGTTTTGACTTGCTCGTTCCCAGTCCCCCACATTATGCCGTTAGACCTCACAAATAAA